TGGTCTGATTATAACGACATGACTCAGTGCCACGGATATGGAAAGCTATATTTACCAGGGCTCATCAAGGCAGTCAACAATAGCCATGTGCCAGAAGCAGTATCCATAGCAACAAATAAACGCATCCAGTAAAAAGCGGGTTGGCTTAGACTCCAGTGTGACCTTCATACCTAACCCCTGGCCACTGGAATTTGTTGCTATTCTAAATTCAATTGTTGTAGTGACTTATAAACTATCTCAGAGAAGAATGGCTTTGTCTCACGCTCCGTTGTCGTATGAGATTGAAGAATTCAATAGAAATGACCGACGACAGCCATGGCCTGACCTTGATCTGTCATAGATCAACGATCTCACATGAAACATCTAAATTATTATGCAAAGAGTCCGCTATTCAATTGTCCAGTTAGGCAAAGTTTGGTGCGGCGACGCCGAGCCGTTTGGATATTTTTCTGTTAAGCAACTTCGGGCGAAAAGTTGACCCCTGACTGACCGTGCTAAAAATTTTGTTAGTTTGTTTGAAACATGAACCCAGCACTTTAAATTATGTTGAATACCGCGCCAGTATGCAAACTAGTTGTGGGAAATAATACCAAAGCAAAGCATTTATGGTGCTAAAGCAAGCACGCATAGCGTTTGAGTGGAAGGCACCTACCCTGGAGTCCGCAGCCCGCGCGCCCAAGGACCAGACGGCGTTCTCAGTTTCCGTTCTCCCACACATGAACAGCTGGTCGCCATCCTGACAGGTAGCGCACAAACGAGACTAAGCTTTACGAGAAGGCGCGAGACAACGGCATGCAGCTCATCGGCGAATGTAATGTCACGCCGGGGAGTTAGGAGGAGAGGGATAGAGAGCAAACATTGGCGTACGGCGAGCCAGTCCACACCAAGCTGCTAGTTCGATACGTGAAAGCCCTGGCTTCACTCAAAAATGGCACGAATGGCAAGAGTGAGGATATTCGTGTTCATGATTTCGCCCGGATCATTGACAGGTACTGTCATAGCAAATCGGACATGTGAGGTGTGTCGACGGATATTTGAAAAAGACACATATTGCATATACATAATTATGTGTGAACACAAAAATCAGATATGATTTACATAAATCAGCTATCAGACACAAAAATCACGTGCTTGTGTCTGATATCAAGAGCCCAAGCTTGTCTCGGCTGCCTACACTAAGGTCTCGCAGAGCATATATTCAATTGATTGCTATTGTGTCAGTTGTATTTGATTTATATATTAGTTCTTTTTGACGATTTCTACATGATACAGAAGTGACGAGTTGCGCGGTTCTCGAGCTTAACCTCAAATTATGCGTGTGAAGCAAGCGCCGATGGAAACAGGGCACAGTTCGGGAGTCCTGATGAAGTCGGAAACAGACGCCTTTTTAGGATAGCAGGTTTGGGATATGGTTTGAGACGACAAAGACTTTTGTGACCCAGTGAAGCAGTGAAAATGGAAGCCATACTAAGGAAGGCCAATAGCTGGTCTGCCCGCATCTGTGAATGAAGCTGGCGTTAATAAATCTTATTAAGCTCAGGGACGGCGTGACAGGGCATATGGAACGTTGCCTGTGTTCGTGTGGCTCGCAGGATTGGGTCGCGCGTGGTTGGTGGTCTGTGCGGCCTGTTGGGCTGTCGGGCCGAGGCACAAGCGGCTGAGCTTACACGCGTAGCTCATCAGTCTGAAAGCAAACATTTTATCAGGATAAGAGCCTTGGCTAACAACTCGAATGTACCGGTTACGTGCTTATTGAATGTTGGTACCGATTGCCTCGTTTTTTTGTCGTACATATTAATGCCTTGGCTTACTACATTACGCTGATTTCTGGCATTACGCTGCCCATTTGACTATGATAGAATGCCGACAAGCGTGTGTTGACACTTGCAAAGCAGCAATTGCGAGATGGGTCCTTAATTATTCATTTGCTTGGAGACATCTTTACGACTTGCAATAACCGATAGCGTGCTTAGCTGCAGCACGGAATAGGTTCTCTCATTATGTGCATTTATGAGCTCATTATGAGCTATGAGCATGTGAGCTATTGTGCATTCGACCACAGCTCTTATATGAGCCGTATGGTATTCATGAGAAGCATTGTTGCTCCTTGACGACCAAGCATATATCCTCCGAAATGAACGAAGCCGCCCCGCGCTAATCTTAAGTAACGCCTCTTATGAATTCGTCAGCGGTGCACCCTTCTGACTAAAGTCAGAGAGATGAGACGAAGTCTTCCCCGAATTCGTCATTTTGAATTAAAGTGATTTTGCGCTCGGCCTCCACAAATAAGGCGGGAGGGCCGGCTGTAAACTGCCGCTGCGCCGCTGACGGGGGCGGCGGCCGCCGAGCAGGCAGCGCCCCCGATTGCCTGGTCCCGATAAATCTTATAGTCTAGTTTGCTCGAAGAGTTATGGAGCGACAGTCCGGACCTTCCACATATCTTACCTTATCATAGCAGCCTGCTGTCTATCTAGCTCAATATCTGATAAATTTGCGAGCAGAAATGGACGCCTGGCCCTCACCCGTGCTGCACGATCGCGCGTGATAGCTGCTGAGGAGTTCTGGGTGGTCATTCACGTCCGACTTAAGAAAAAGACTAGTGACCACTTCATGTTTGTGCTGTGTTGGAGTAGGGCCACCATAGAGAGGTCAACCCCGGCCAGCCCTGACCAGGTGCCAAGTCTGACCACGGACGATCGGACAGCTTCCGCGAGTGGTAGACGCGTGACATCGCGACTGAGCGAGGTCGTACCTGCAGCGGAGTTATGCAACTGACGCGGGCAAAGTTTGACAAAAGGCTCCCCTTACGGCGGCAACGTCCGCAAACATCCGGCACGGTTGATAGAGTGGTGTCGACTGAACACCAAGGCAGTAAAGAGGCTATGACGATGCGTATTAAATTTTCATGCATTTCAGGAATAGGATAGCATCAGGGCTTATCCTGTGAAGGAATTCATCCAAAAAAACACGTTATCTGCGCCACGCTTAATTGAACAGCACACCACAGACCTCGCAATCCCAGTGTGGCGTATGTCCGCGTGCATGCAAGCGAGGCGTGAGACCGAGATCAAACTTAGCACTTTTATTTACAATGTTGGGAATAATTTTTTTTCTCTCTCTCTCTTCTCTCTCTACTCTCTCTCTCTCTCTCTCTCTCTCTCTCTCTCTCTCTCTCTCTCTCTCTCTCTCTCTCTCTCTCTCTCTCTCTCTCTCTCTCTCTCTCTCTCTCTCTCTCTCTCTCTCTCTCTCTCTCTCTCTCTCTCTCTCTCTCTCTCTCTCTCTGCAAACAACAATAACTTTTGATTCGTGACACTGGATGTGCATGATACTGTGCGTGACGAATAGACGCGTTTTCCTTCATGGACTTTTTCCCTACGTCATGTCAGCTTTAATACCTGACGGCGGACAATGGTAACCACCTGCATGTGGACCGGAAGAATTTGGTAGCATCTCTACCATACAACACAACCCTCATATCGTCGCTGAAATTACTGTACACCCGTCTCAGCACACAGCAGGCAGAGATGAATTATAATGACGGGGATAGTTATTAGCAATAATGACCCAATTTAAAAAAATTATTGCCTGGACCTAAGCGTAAGCGGCATGAGATCTCAAGGCCGAAAGCCGGTTAAAGCCTCGAGCGCAGCACCACAGCATCAGACGCCTGTGGCCAGTGCAGAGGTCACCGGTCACGTATTCAGACACCACAAGACTCTGAGGCGTGCTGTTGCTGTCTGCCTTGCGGCTGACTGCCTCTGTTGATCTCGGCTCGACCTGAACGCAGCATCCTTTACTAAAAATTTTCAGTGATGAGTGTGCCATGCGAGACGCACACCAGCGAGCCGATTGGAGGCAGCTGCAACATTACCGCACTAGCTCTCAGAATGCAGAGACGAGAGCGTCTCCTTTTTGCATCGACATCGCTCAATGCATCAACACCCTCCCCATTGCCAGGGCAAGTGCTGACATGTGCTCGGGTGGCCGGTTAAATACCTTTCGCTCGGGTCAGTGTCAATTTGACGCCTCTAAGATTGACAGAACCAAGAGAGCTTTAGACACAAAATTCGTGTGGTGCGTTGGTCTTTATGTTAGCTTACTTGTGTAAAAGCCGTAAGTCGTAGGTCATGACCCTGAGCCCAAATTGGGTGAAGCAAGTCAAACTCCAGGTTGATGTCCAAAATGTCTCCAGGCCTTCTCATGCAACCGCCGTGAACTTAAATACCTGTTCTAAACAAAAGGTCAATGGCGCTCATTAAGTTCGGCTACCTTTTTCGACCTTTAGAAGGGCATGGTGAACAAAATCACACAAGAGCGCTGTAGATCTTGCATTTGAGTAAGCGCCAATGGTAACGCTAGGAGGCATGTTTTTAAAAACAAAATGTTAATCTCGGTCATTTTAGGTGTATGACCTATTGAATGGTGCGCTATCTAAAGGATTAAAAATGAGCACCAGAAACTACTCAGTACCGAGAGTTTACGAGCAAAAAAGGCTGGTTTTGACCTTGGTATGACCTTCATACCTTTGCTTCCATTGCTTCGGAAACTATCTCAGCGATGGAGGGCTTCGTTTAAGGCTTCGTTATCGCATCAGATTGAACGATTCCCTAGTAACTGACTTTGCTGACAGTGTGACCTCATCTTGACATTGCATAGAGCAGTAACCTTACAAGGTACATTTGATTTTTATTAAAAAATCTGCTATTGAGTTGCCTAAAGATATGCAAAATTTGTCGGGCTTACGTCCCGCCGTTCGAAAATCATTCCGGAAAAAAACCTTCGGGAGCCATATTGATCCCCACCCAAGCGCGCATTCAGGAAGCTTATGCAATGTTTCCTTACTTCGCATAGTACAGTTAAGAGCAAATAATGCACTTTCTGTTGGAATAGCGACGGATGGAACATCCTCCTATGGGAAGCCTTGCAGGTCTCATTTGCATAAGCTAGTCCAGTCTGGCTGAAGGCACACCCAGGTAATCCAGAGCTGTTTCTGTTGGCAGGTGTCTTGGATCAGGAAGCGGGACCTGCACATCCTAACGACGGACATCTTCACGTACACCTCGGACGCGCGGTTCCAGGTGGCCCATTTGGAGGGATCCACCAACTGGACGCTGCTGGTGAAATACGCGCAAGTACGTACAATTAGGAGAGGGCACGTTTTCTGTGAGCAGACCTATTTCTTGTCTGGTAGAAGCAATATTCGCTTAATGTATGAAGTGTTATTGAACTTTTCTACCGGGTTATTTAGTGTTTGACCAAGAGCAGCCTTTTCCTTTGCAAATTACGGAACAGTTAATTGAAGAACACCTAATTGGACATTTCATATGAGTTGTGGTACAGGTGCACATGAACTGAATTACCTATTAATGGTTTTTCGATGTTACAGGTACGAGATAATGGCATCTACGAATGCCAGGTGAACACCTCCCCGAAACTATCTCTGGCTTTCAACCTACATGTTGTAGGTAAGTAACCTTGTCGTGCTCCGCCAAAATGAATTACCAATGGTTTCACCAAATAATCTTCTTTTTGGGCTTTACAAACATGTGAAGTCAGAAGCCCATAGGAGCTGTACCAGAAGTACAGAATGAAAACATTCCATAGAATGTTGGAGACGAGATCATCCTATAGATTCGATTACATGTACTTCCTGCTGGTGAAGTGGGTGGAGTGCTAAAGTACCAATCGCGAAATGGTGGCTCGAAGTCCAGCGCTGCCATAAAGCAACTTTCGGCAGTCACAGTTATACGGTCGCACGCACTATATCCCAAACGCTTCTCAGAATCATCTAAGCTGATGACGGGCAGCAAATCATGTGCCAAGAGGCATGCTTAAAATGCAAATGAGGTCACCGAAAAGGAAGATAGTCTGATTCTACCAGCGCCAGCGCTGGCCTGATGTGACCACGCTGCTGAGTGCGCCGAATAAGAACATCTCGTCGGCTGTTGAGCCGACAATACTCTGATCTGTTTGGTTAGCCTATCTTGACTTATCCGGTGTTGGCATTTGTGTATCATTTCTGAGAAAGTCAGCCAATTTTGTCTTCAGTGCTTTGAAATTCTGAGCGCCCGTTTCAAAATGTGGGTCCAATTACTATCGAAAAACTACCACTAAATGCGTTGTTAACCGTCGGACATTAAGTCCAATATTCCCCAGAATGTCCTTAAATACCTACTTTCAGCTAATAAAGGCCCTCAGCCAGGCTTCCAAGGAACGTCCTCGTGCGTATCTCAAGTTGCCCGTTTCTCATTAAAAGCCCCGAGGTGAGACTGTTTCTAGCCCCGTATTGGCCTTGCCGGTTGCCGGGCAACGGCAGACCCACGTTATTACCTACAGCCCGGGTCCCTACACTACCCCACTAATCTGATTCCGTGGCACCAGCCGCCGGTGGTGACCTGGCGTATACTCCCAAGTTCAAACGTCATGCGAGGCATATGTACGTCAGGGTTTGTCGTGATGTCAGGGCATCTCTGGCATGGATTGTTTGTTGCGTTGTAACGTCGTAGCGTTGTGAGAAGTGGAAAACGCTATCTGAGATGCACAGCTGCCGTTCACATGCCTCAGATTAGTGCCATTAAGCATCAGTAGATTTGAGCATTAATGGTTGATGCTTAGTAAACGGGGTACAGTTAGTAAATTTGGGCATTGCTTATCTCTTGACCTATATATACCATGAAAACGAGACCCGTGAATTTGGCAGGGGGTAAAACAAGACATTGTTGGGCTGCTTGGACACCGTGCTCCCAACTGGCTTTTGCTGTGTGAGTCTTGGGCAAGCTGAAATCGATTGGCAGGGACGCCTCATCCCCCCCACACTCCCACCTTCCAGCGCCAGCCGCCAACGCAGCGAGTACAAATAGCCTCCGTTCGGCAGGATGCAGGCCATGTATAAGGCGGTCAGTCCAAAGCGTGGCACACCCACAAAAACTGGACTCGCCGGGGGACTCGAGGCCCACCCAATTGCCCAGCGGAGCGTGTCCGGGAGCAGCTGTGTCCGCCCTAGACAGCAATCGATACCGTGGCAATGATGGGGACCGCTTGGTACTGTCATCCCCGGGAAAGGCTATCGAAGGTCCGCAGGGTTGCATGTGATATGAACTCGCACGATCGCGAGGTTCATGCGAGCCGAGCCCGCACGGTCGCGATGTGCCACTGGAAAAAGCGAGCAGTCACCAGGCTACCCCGCCAGGGAGTTTTCGCACTCTTTGCCGACGTTGATCGAACAGTACCGGGCAGAATGAATGGGATAGTGCACCGAACACATATCTTGAGGCTCGCAGTTTTGCGCGCTTTGACTTGTTTCTTCGTAAATACGACGCAATTGTTTTTTATCGTACACATATTCAGTGTGGCTTAATACAAATATTTATTTATTTCGATGCATTTTGCGACACTTTTTACGGAGTCATGTTGACTCCCATGAGATACATTAAATCTTTCAAAATATTGTCATTTATGATGAGAGTGCACTAATTGTTTTTCCGGTAAAAGCAGAACAAGAACAATATATTGGATTTTCAAAACATGGCTCTCACATCACGTATTGGACATAGCATGATTTAGACGGATGTCCTCACTTCGCCGTAAACGAATAACACCACGAATAGCAATCACTCGTTAGCTTTAATCACTGAACTTCACCTCACATGACGCACAATAGGAAACTTGGTATAGCAAATGAAGGCTGGCCTAATGACTACGCGTAACCTCGGCCTCCCCTCCCTCCCCCTCCCTCCCTCCAGCTGCCAGCACGGTCGATCAATTGGTGGGTGGTGGTAAGATCCACATACAGTCTGTTCATATGCGTTCTGTTATTACTGAGGCAAAGCCATCACTGGAATATTTCATGAAAGTACCAAAGACCATTCTATGTTTCTATGATTGCTCGATACCTGTATTTCACCAATGCCATCAAATGCCGTCGAAAAATGCCGTCTGGCATGCTACAGACAGGGTGTGTTCAGAGCAGGGGCTTATAATGTCAAAACATCAGATTGAGACATGTCTTACTTGTATGAACGTTGATATCGACCTTGCTTTGCGCGGCCGTCGTGCGTGGTATGATATAAACTCTGTCTGTAGCACTGGCGAAAGTTGCACCCTTTATTTTTGCCAGTCACCATGAATGTTAGTTAATGTATGTCGAAGTGTCACTAATGCATTGATGGCTTCATGCGTCATTTCAGAATCTTTTGCGAGGATTCAAGGACCACGGCGAGTTTACGCAAAGTTTGACTCCGTGTTGAGACTCACCTGCGTCGTCAACATGCCCAAAAATAATGAAGGTACGTAGCAAGACAATGCTGAAGGCGGTGCTGTTCCTTGTTGGCTGTTTCTTGGCGTATCTATCATTGTACCCAATTGGACAAAAATCGAGTTTTTTCAGATTTACTCCGAACTTGCTCGATTGGCCGGATTTGTGGGATCAGCGCTCACGCTTAACAGTGGCGTTTGCGTCAGCTCTAGCTCCAATCTGATCATCACATTCCTGATCAACGCAGCACTTGGCGGCGAAAGCTTTAAGTATCAGGATGTGCGGTACAGTCCGTTCTGCCATCTGACGTCACATGACCTTAAACGTGGGTGAGGCTACTAGCCAAAGACCATCCCAGTCAAGGCCAAGTAGTGAGCGCATAAAACCCCGGCAAGGGTGAGTGAATTGAAGGCAGTTGCTTTTACCATCTAACCTATCGGAGCTATCCAATAAAAGTCCCTAAGCCCCAAACATAACACGAATCATAAACATATAAGTTGGTCGATTATCTATTTTTACGATCAAGAAAGGGATCACTTGGAAGCCAAAGAGTACATTTTAGGTATTTAAAACGAGACAACTTGATCAACGGGCTTTTGGCCCCAAGCTATTCCGTGTCCCGCCCGTTTCGTTCCACCTAACTCCGCTTGGACCTATATGCCCTCAAGCCGATCTGACCTGGTTAAGCCGATCTCACTCAAGCCGATCTGGCCTGGCCGGGCGTGACACTGACATGTCGCTGCAGTGAACCTGACCTGGCTGCTGGACGGCCGACCCCTCAGCAAGGAGCGTTGGGTCACCGAGACCTCGGACGAGTACGTGACGTCGCGACTGGTGATCCGTGGCGCACGCGGACGCGACTCGGGCACGTACACGTGCGCTCCAGATCGCGCGGCACACGCCCACGTGCACGTGCACGTGATCAGTGGTGAGTGCGTCGCTGTTTGTTGCGACATTCAGCGTGCCCCGGCGTGTTGGCGGGCTGCAGCTGGGCGTTATTGCGTTGTGCCGGGTTGATAGAGGTTATACGCGCCCAGTGGGCAGCCTAGCCACCTTAACCGCAATAAGACAGACCAATCGATCTAGATATCCGAAGCTTGGCGTACATAACAGGATATGACCAGCATTTGGAATGAAAGATTCATGTTTAAAAGTTTTGCGTAAAGTCGGTCACGCTGCATGTTCGCAATCTTTAAAAAATCGGTTCACACGTAAGGCAGGCACAAACGTCTGAAAAACGCAGTCTGCAATGCAGATCTTTTCACTTTCATGGTTGGTGATGTGTTTTTTTCTATATTATAATCTGGCGTGGTCTGACTCATTGTGATGGAAGCGCTCATTATGGCTGCCTTTATGCCCGCAGGCGAGCATCCAGCGGCAATGCAGCATGGCGTGGCCGGCGGACAACAAATCAAGACTCCGGTCTTCTATGTGATGTTTACCTGCTATGTTATTGTTGCGTGTTCTAGATAATAAACGACTGTTTTCTTACATTCTTTTCTTTGCGGTTGTAATGAGACATTTCCGAGGCAGGCTCTTGCCTTTGTTGGCTGTTTTCCTCATATTCCGTTGCAAGCAAGAAAGACCTCTCCTTACTCTGGGTCTGGGTGACTGCTCTGTTTTCGCCAAAACAATATGAGACGTCCAAAACAGGGCTGGGCACCATCGTAGTTGGCATCCAAACTCCACCCATTGCCATAGATATCGGTTTGTTATCACTGGCAGCTATGTATTCAGTAAGGTTTAAACCGCAAGACAAGGATATATGCGCAAAATTTCACGCACACATGGTGATTGCAAATTACTGTTATGAAAACCTCAACATTAATCTATTTTAAATCTCGACCAGCCTCTGTTGCTATTGGCATATTCGAATTACCTTAACGACATACACTGCAGTCAAACATAGAGAACATGCATGATGAAACTACCGGATAAAGCTAAGCGAATCATATCGTTTCGCTCAAGAACCAAGGTTCCTCATATTTAACCCGGCGCGGAAAAGCAGAATGAGTGGGCAGAATGAGCACGGAACGTCAGACGTCTTGATGAGGTAGTTGGCTGGGCGCGGCACCCAAGCAAATTCTGCACATTCTAGAATGCGCGCTATGCGCGTGATAACTGTTGTTCGCTGAGCAGCATAAGTGTGCTGCGCATCGAGAGATGGCTCGTGCTCTCGTCCCTACTCAGCCAGCATCATCAGCAACTACTCAGCTCGCGCGTGACGGTGCGAAGCTGTGCCGCAGCACCCACGTGTCATGCGGTGCAGTATACAGAACAGAAACGCCGCGAACAACGGCTGACTCACGCGACGCACGCTTTATACAGCGCAATACAGTCAGTTCAGTACGCGCATGCGTATACGCAATGCTACAGCGTGGGTACCATAAGTGATCGAAAGAGAGAATAGAGCAGTAGGGAAGGAGCGGAGAGACTTGGAAGAAACAAGAGCTTCTCTCGAACACTTAATTTGACAGCGAAAATGGGAGTACGTAATATCTTTGCGTTTTGACACGCTCTGTGAGGGTTTCTATGGAGCCTGTTGCAAGGATTTATTGATTCCAATAAATCTTGAAGCCATTGCAAGCTTTATGTAATTTGTATCGAGTAATGCGCCCTAGTGACATAAATATCAAAATAGCAAGGCTTATAAGGTTTTTCCCATCCTCCGGTTGCAAAGAACTACATTGTAGAGCCGCTTTGTAGGTGTACGATATTGTTCATCTGACAGGCACTGAGAATATGAACCGCATCGGGAACTCCAACCCTGGAGTTGACTGAGCCTCGAAAGTGACTGCACAAAGTGGTCGCTCACAGTCAGAGCTTGAGGAAAACTATACATGGTGTGCAAACGTGTTCGTAACGTCGCCTGAATTATGCAAGATAGGACGATCGGAGTGTTGAATGCCAGCGGACATGAACGTAGCCCGATGGGGCATGAGATTATGGTCGTATGACTGTTGGCGGAGGGGAGACTGGTAAACTGATAATGGGCCCCAAATTCGTTTTTTCAAGTGGTTTTCACCCTCAATATCTATGGCAGGAATATTTAAGTCTATTGTACTTTTCCGTAAAGTACTTCTGTACTTGTACTTGTAAATGTACTTCTTACATTTCGCGTCAGATTTCCACACCAATTCGAAGCGTTTCGTTTTGATTTTTATTCTCTGTATTTCCTGCTACATTTTTCATACGCATTGGGTTGTGGTCAAATCTGAGGTTCCAAATATTCAAAATTCGTAAAAAGCACATATCAATACAGGACATAAAAAGCGACAGAAAAACCGTCGAAATGTACTGGTGCTCCGACGTTTCGTAGCAATCCTTATTGCAGTGCATGAGGAGCGTAGGCTGTTTGCTGCCTGCAGGAACAGAGGTGATTTGGCACAAGATTGCTTTAAAAGTGGTCGGAAGCTTAAAAGAAATTAGAACATATCAATACCAGTCCAACGGCTTTAGCAGCATAACAATGAGGGGCATAACAAGCGGCAATAGCGGCAGCAATAAGTACTATCACCATGCTGAAAATATCCAGCCATAATCGAATGAAGTTTGTCGCATTTGGGAGCCTATATGAAAGGTCCGGCGGCTTGAAGAATTCGCAATATTGACATTTTGATGACTGTGCTGACGAAGGTATGCGTCAAGAAATGCATCATTTCGGATGGCTTTTGGCCACGATATCCTGGACTATGCATATCGCTAGCTCATCGCCTAGTTTGAATCTATTTAGACCACAGCATGATGTAGCTGAGGTCGAGTTTGAAGCATGTGGACATTCTTTGCTTTCCTGTGTACCACTGAGAGAGTGCTGACAGTGCTACCACAGTGCTGAGGTCACCCAGTGATTTATTGACGATGCGTTTCACTTATACCGTACAACCGGTTTCACATTTCTGCCTGCTCTCGCAGCCGAGATCCAAAATCAGCCGTTTAAATGCCTGAACATGGCGGATCTAGCGTTCTGTGGATGATGATGCATGATAGCCAGCCCACATCATCTCACATTTTTGCAACCCCTACACACAGTGTGATTGCCCGCTTTTCCCGTCGTCAGAATCAGCCGTTTCATGTTGCTGTAGCATCCCATCGTCGACATATGGGCCCGAATGCGGCCTGCGCTCTTCAGTTATGTTTCGGAATTTGAGATTTGTTATTGCTCTTTGTGAATCGAATGGGATGGTGAAATTGCACATTGGTGCGCTGCAGAGGTACAGCACCTGATCAAACAGCGGGAATTTGAGTGCTCTGCAGGCATTATGGCACAACGTTCAAGGAACTGTGCCACCTGTTAAAACCTTATGGTGGTACAATCAGCGGTTGCATGTATGTAAGCCGATCAGGACACAAACGGCCTGGCATGGCCGGGCCTGGTCGCTCAAGCAGTAACATTTCCAGCTGGTCATCTGATTTGTTCGGACTGTCGCCGCGCTCAAAACAACGCTGCGTTTCAGCAATGGCTCAAATCAACCCAATAAATGAGACTTTCAATAATTTGGGTTAATCCTCACCCTGGTAAGGGGTTGATGCGCCTCACCCGAAGTTTTTATGGATATACCTCTACGGCATATTATGCAATCACGCCCAGATTCTCAGTAGCCAATGGGTTATTCCTTACGCGGGTTATGACACCAAAAAAGCTCTCCTATCTTTTCTGGCCGCAGAGCAGCGACGGTTTGTGAGGAACACTGCACTGCAATCTACTGCCGGCGCGGATGGCGGGCGGCAACCGACGATGTCGCGGAAGGCGCGCAGAGGGCCGGCAGCATTCTATCAACGGAGCCATACATAATAAATTCATGCTCGAAGCGCATAAAAGTATGCTTCACTGTACCCAAAATTGAATAAGAAATGCGTTTTTTTTCAGCTTCGCGTCGCCACAAAGCATGGTCTCGTTGGTCTGGCATCGAAAGGCAAAAAATGTAGGCTTCTGAAAAATTCGAACTTTTGATAGACTGGTGAACAGACTGGAGATCAATAGACTGGTGTTTTCCGCTAAACTCTCCCCCTTTCTCTCCCTCTCTCTCCCTCTTGTACTACATCTATCTCCCTCTCTCTCTCTCCCTCTTCTCCCCTCCCTCTCTCTCTCTCTCTCCTCTCTCACTCTCTCTCTCTCTCTCTCTCCTTCTCTCTCTCTCCTCTCTCTCTCTCTCTCTCTCCTCTCTCCTTCTATCTCTCTCTCTCTCTCTCTCTCTCTCTCTTCTCTCTCTCTCTCTCCTCTCTCTCTCTCTCTCTCTCTCTCTCTCTCTCTCTCTCTCTCTCTCCTCTCTCTCTCTCTCTCTCTCTCTCTCTCTCTCTCTCTATTAGTGCTGAAACGCCCGGGGAGTTTGCATCGACCTCTCCTCTCAGTTGGCGCCATGAAAAACTGCGAATCAAAGCAAGGGTTAACAGAATTCAAACATAACAACTTTCGACAACAAACACAACCTCACACTTGACGCTGTGTCGTGCAGGCGGAATTTTAACTCTTAAAATTTTTAAGCAGCCGTCATGTATGCAAATGTTTTGTTGGTCCTGATTGGAAATATGCCTGAAAAATAACAGAAAAACAAAGCAGTGTCTCGAAGCTCCATTTCATTGGTATTGGATATATCCTTGACCTCCGAGAAAACTGTCCTAATAAGCCAGCTCGTTTGTCCGCTCCAGCACATACGCACCGCTTCAGCTGCCTTGATCACGTTGCCGACAGTAGCTCACGCCCCCGGCCACGTGTGCCACAACCATTAAATACACTCCACACGTGGCGCTGGTGATTGGACAGGAGCATGCGCACGTGACTCATCCTTTTCTCAGCGGGTGACGGCGTCTCTCGTCCACGTGACCACTCCCATCGCCGAGAGGATGGCGGGTGCCAGGGGCGCGACCTCAGCCCCAACACAAACCTCAGCTTCACACAAACGGCGTGGGAGTGTGGAGTCGATAGCTGCCGGGCTTGCGTGAGTCTGAGTAACGAATCCGCCCTCCCCTCGCCTCGCCTCGCCTCCCCTCCCCTCCCGGACATGGTGCTGCCAGCCGCGGCAGACGGGTCAGTTCCTCCCCGCTGCGCAGGTAATTAACGCCCAATCACGGGCCCCCTCGGGACCGCCATCACCGCCGACAGTCGCCCGCGCAGGCGAGTCGTCAGGTGCGTGCCTGCCGACGGTTACGACGGCGCGCCAACCTGCGAATGTTTCAGCAGCCTGTCAATGCGGGAGTTCCGCGCGAAGATTACAGTTCAAGTGTATTGATTGACTCGGCTTCGGAGAGAAAAGTCGGAGATTTGCGCTTGATGCTACATTTTGCGCCCGACACGGGGTGTCCATATGCAGCTGGGGGCTCGGCGTGAAAAAGACAATCGCAATCACAAGCGTGCACACCTAAAATGCATCGCTCAGAGCGTATATTGATTTCATTGTATCTCATATAGGAAGAATTTCAACTGAATGCCAAACTACATGAAGAATCTCTTTGGAAAGTAAAAGACAAGCCTGTTACGAAGCAAATAATACCTATG